CCCCGGGGCCTTCGCCGTGCCCTCAAGGGCCTGGTGTGACCTGCAGCCTTCGGGGGGAGGTGAAATGAAGGGCAGGGTGATGTGCCAGAACAGGAACCGGCCCTGCTGAGGTGGGGTAAACGGATCACAAGTCTCCTCCCAGCCCTGTCATCTCCACTGGCCCACGGGAGCCTCTGTTGTCAGCCTGGCTCCCTGGAAACGCTAGACGAGCACCGGTATCTTTAATACTCCCAACCATGTGTTAGGGAGACTTAATTCCAGCTTACTCTTCAGTGCACAGTTGCTCCCTAGTCCCTTCTGTTTGGTTAGATACCTGCAAAGCTTTATCTGCTCATCTAATGAGTCACACCAGCAGGGCTGTTGTCCCCATTCTCATCTGTTATGCCTCCTGGCATTTCTTCCTAACTGCCTCTCCAGAAACATTCTGTTCTTGCAGTGCTTAGGAAGGTGGGATGAGAAGCCAAGTGGGGCAGCACCCTACTAATCTAAAATAAACATGCTAAGAGACTGTTACGAGTAAGGAACGCTCAATTTGAGGAGCAGGTATCTTTGCGAAACCCCTTCGCACTTGGTTTAAGTTCTCTTGCATGGCCCCAGCTTGTGTTTGGCAGCCAGTGTAAAAATAAACTGACCTAGTAAGTCAATACTGCTCTGACAAGGGCTGTTTGTGTTTCCTTCTCCTCTGCCCGATTTCCATCCTTTAAATAGTAACCTCATTCTTGATGCCGTTCCTTTTCCTTAATAGAGAAGAAGGATTGCCGGCGTGAACATCGCTCGCAGTGCAGCCAGGAGCTTCCCCGTGACATGGTGCACCCCAACGTCATATGTGATGGCTGTGAGGGACCGGTGGTGGGTGGCAGGTTCAAGTGCACTGTCTGTCCAAACTATGACCTGTGCAGCACCTGTGAGGCTAAAGGCATCCACAAGGAGCACAACATGGTGATGTTTCGGAATCCACTGCTAAATCCATCTGAGGTGAGCAAAATCTATGCGGGGAAACTAAGGAATGGGATATTCCTCAAATTTTAAGTCCTAAGTTTCAGTTAACTCAGAATCTGGCTGTGTGAAGAGTTGTCACATGAACATTACCCTTTACAGTGGCTTCCCCGAGGGCGCTGGCTCCGTAAGATGCGGCACGGTGTTCCACCTTTCCCATGGATGCACTGCTGGGGATACCCTGGCCCTGCAGCTCCGTGCCAAAACTCTGAACAAGCCCAAGCCAGTGCTGCAGCCTCCAATCCACCCACTACAGAAGGTAAGAGGCGATGCTCTGGTAAACAAGGTGTGGAGGAAGCAGAGTAGCTGAGGTTCTGCAGTACAGGGTGGAATCTGGGTGGAAACTAGACATAGGAACTAATCTGATTTGTTTGAAATATAATTGGCACCTTTCAGCACAGAGTGGGATTATTTTAAGGCATGCTTAGGCCCATGCAATAGATGAGGATGCAGAGACTATCTGGAAACCAACCAAACGGAGCTGTTAGGTCAAGCATGTCCCTACTCTACTCCAGATCTGCCTTTCAGCATGGCTAATGAGCCTTAACAATGCTAATGCCACTGGTTCTGTGTTCCAGAGGTAGCTCAGAGTTAGTTTTTGTCTCTGTATTGCCTTTGTTGTGCAGTGTATGTGAGTGACAGGAAAAGAGCACCAAGATCTCACAGGGATATGCTCTGTAGGTGCTCTTTCCCCCTGAGCTTCTATGTGTGCTAACAGAAACTGTTTTTCTAGAAGCTTCTACTAACAGCCAGCCTCAGGACCCCAATGTCACCTTCTTAAAGAATGTTGGGGAGAGTGTTGCAGCTTTTCTGAGCCCTCTGGGTAAGTGACTTACAGTTTGTTACCCCAATCCCTGAGACTGGCTTAAAGGTCCTTTTAACAGAAGCAGCAGTCTGCTGTTGTGACTGATACCAAAACTACCTCATGCTACTAAGCCTTGAAGGCTTAATATACTCCTGGTACTAATAATGCCCAGGCTTAGAACAGCCACTCAGTATTTTTTCCAGAGCCCTCATTTGGGAGAAAATGAAATACTTCATTAACATGTCACCACCGTAACAATAATTTTAAGTCAGTGCTGACCCAGGATTTTGCCTGGTTTATGTGGACATAGATAACTTCTGCCCTGACCCTCTAAATGTATGGCTTGTGTATCGAGAGGAAGATGACTATTTGGTGCTTAACTATTCTTTGTTTAAAGGATGTTTTGCATTTTAATTCCTACATGTTACATGGCAAATTGTAGGATTACAGAAGCCTTAAAGTAGGATTGATCCATGCTCTTTTAGGACTGTGCTTTGGAAGAATCTCTGTAAGACTCTCTCCATCTCAAATGCATTGCTAGGTATTGAAGTTGATATTGATGTGGAACATGGAGGACAGAGAAGCAAAGTGACTCCAGCTCCTCCCAATCAAGAGAACAGCGCTGAGGCAAGCAGCAGTACACTTAACCAGAACGCTCAGACCAAAGCAGACTGGAATAACACAGATTCTGCTACAGAAGTAAATACTGTTGCAGAGCAGATACAAGACATGGTGATAGATCCTGTGCCCACACAAATGGAAGATGGCAGCTTCCATTCCCAGGTACAAGAACTACGACACTAAGTTAATATGCTTGCTGAGGCTTTACTATAAAGGAAGATAATAATTTAGCATGCATTGTGGGATTGAATATTAAGATGTCAGCAGATTAAGTGCTTTACAGGTTCATAGCAAAGGTGGTGGGACTTCTTGTGGATGTAACCCTTCATATTAAAGGCAGATAGCAAGAGCATGCATCCTACCTGGAAAGCACTGCAGCACCTGAGCCTTTTTTCTTTCCATTTCAGGAACACAGCGAGTCCAGCAGTTCATCAGGGGGTGATGAGGACTGGACCCACTTATCTTCCAAAGAAGTGGATCCTTCCACAGGTGAGCTGCAGTCTCTGCAAATGCCAGAGACAGAGGGTCCCAGCTCCCTGGATGTATCTGAGGATCCTCCCCATTCAGGACCTACAGGACTGCGAGAAGCTGCACTCTACCCACATCTCCCACCAGGTATGAGAATGTATGCAGGTTTCATAACAGTAATTTTCACTCAGGAACTGCTTTTGGAGATGTCAGAAGCCAAGGTCACATAAGTTACAGCTAAAGTTGTCCATAACTTTGTTAGCAGGTATGGCAGCTCTTGTCCCCTGTTAGAAACAGGTGGTTCTCCTCTTGAATGTGGGCAGCTAAGTCTTAACAAGACTTCTGACCTTAGACTAAGATGCCATCCAAGCAGCATGACAAAAGGTGGTACCCTAAATCACATCCTTGCTCTGTGTTCTTCAAGAGAGCCCTTTAATGCAGGATGCAGACTAGGACATCCTGTGACTTGGACAGCATTTTTCTGGTGGGAGCCAGTAACAGTGTGCCAGGCCAGTTAACTGAGACAGACTGCACAGAGTCCTACAGCAAGGCCATCTGAGTCTGACTCAGCAGTTCTCTTAGCTGGTTATGTGGTTTTTATCTCAAACATCTGCTCTCCTGGGAGACAAAGGGAGAGCATGTCTTCTAGCATTTGACCAGCTATGCTAGGTTTACTAGGATTAGTACCAACCTACCCTACTGTGTGGTGTTAAAGCCTTGGCTGGTTTGCTCATTACATGAAATATTTCAAATTTAAATGAAATATTTCAGATTTAAAAAAAAATACATATTTTAAATTTAAACTGTTCTTCTCTTAACAGAAGCAGACCCTCGCCTCATTGAATCTCTGTCCCAGATGCTCTCTATGGGTTTCTCTGATGAGGGTGGATGGCTCACTCGACTCCTGCAGACAAAGAACTGCGACATTGGAGCAGCACTAGATGCCATCCAGTATTCCAAGCAGCCACCTCACTTGTAATCTGTGTAACAAAAAGCACTTTCCTTCTAACTGAAAGCAAACAACGCAGTACAACTTACTCAGTGGTTCATCTTTCTTCCTGCTAAGGGTTTCTGTCTCAATGTTCCTAAGTGCTTGTAGAACGGAGGAAAAATAAATACTACTTCCTGTGATGAATCTGTGTGAGTGTTTAAGTGCTGCAGCTGCATTACTTAGGTTAAGAGTGGAAGGACCTGGCTAAGAACATATTTCATCAGGCAACTCCCTGTGCAAGGGAGGCAGCCCCGGGCTGTGGGCCTGCTTTTTTGCACATAACCTTGGGGTACCCCCTTAGGGTGACACTTCTGAAGAGAAATTAAATGCTTTGCTGGCTCTGGAAGAAAGGGTTGTTAGGGGAGATCTAAACAAATAGATAGCACACAGGGAA